AACTACTTTCCGCCGTCCAGCGCCACGCTACGAAGAGTTTAGGCGGGTAAATTGAGTTTACTGTCGTCTGTACAGTATTATATATAAATTATATATAAATTAGGTATTGTATATATAATTATATATTAACTTAATTTATTATAACTTTATTATAATTATATATATACTTTCCGCCGTCCAGCGCCACGCTACGGAGAGTTTAGGCGAGTAAGTTGAGTTTACTATCGTCTGTACAGTATGTAAATTAGGTACCGTAAGTCTAATACAGCACTAATTTTATACATTTCTTGTGAAAGAAACATTTCTTATTCAACGTCCATAAAAATTATTTATATTAATGATGTCTCTAAAGTTCAACGAAGTTTTCGCAGATATATAACTTATCAGAAATCACGGCCGCCGTTTGGTGCGCTGCTCCGTGACGAAAACAAGCTTAAGCAACGGCGACGTCGAACGGTGCACACTCGGTAAGTAATCCTACAATTTTTTGTTTATAGCATAGTTTATACGGATTATTCCCAAAAAATATACGTATTTTGGAAGTGTTGAATCGAATTGGTGTAGAAATCGATTAATTTTATGGAAGAAAACCTTTCAAACACCTGTAGTCCGTAAACTTCACACATGTCGGGCTGTGATTGGCAAGGTCTCCTAAAACATCAATTTCATAAAAACGGAAGGTATCTACCGTGTTATAGGGGGGGTCGACTGTATTTTTTTAAAAATTAAAATAGGTGTAATCTAGGTACGCTATTCTGTCACAGTTGGTTGAATCATGTGTTGAGAGTTTGAGAGGAATAAATTAAATGTTGAAAATGACATGAGGTTGGCGTTAACAAAAACTCATCTGTGAATTTTAAGGCTGCTTAATAACATACAATTTCAACAGTCGAATTAAATTATTAAACATAATTTAAAATGAAATTACAGTCGATCCCCCTATAATTACGATTCCTATAAAACTACGAAAAAATTGTGAGCGGTATCCGTAAAAACCAGTAAAAACCCCCTATAATTACCTCAAAAGTCATCGGGCAGCCGAACTATTTTCCCGCCGTCCGTAGCGCCAACTACGGAGAGATTTCTAACGTCTGGATAGTATTATATAAATTATATATAAATTAGGTACTGTATATATAATTATATATTAACTTGTTGTAACTTTGTTATAATTAAATATATAATTTCCGCCGTCTAGCATGGCGCCACGCTACGGAGATTTTTACGCTAACTATCGTCTTTACAGTATGTAAATTAGCTACCGTAAGTCTAATACATTTGTACTTTAAGTGTAATTTTATACATTTCTTGTGAAAGAAACATTTCTTATTCAACGGCGATTATATTAATGATGTCTCCTGATGTCTCCGAAGTT